ATCAGCACTCCCATCCTGCTGCTTATTACTACCAACCTTGACACTTCAATCCAAGGAAGCAGAGGTTATGAATCTCCCTTCGCATCTCGAGTACTAGGGACTTAGGTAACTTGGTTCATTACTCATTCATTCCAACCTTCAGAAGTTTTTCCCAACAACACAAAAATCTCAAACACACAAACATCGGCACAAACACACACTGACTAACCAGGTAGTCGGATATATTAAGCACACAATGCCGGGCGATGTCCTTTCTATACCGCGCTGAATACATTGGCTGTTCTTCAACAATCTTCATCCTACTAATTGGGTTAAGCCCAAGTTCCTGAGATATAGGAGTAGAAGGAAAACTCGAATATAGGAGTAGAAGGAAAACTCGAATCGAAAAGATAGTTGAAGTGCTGGATAGTGTTGTTCTTCCCTTCTTCATTACTCCCTCAATGTTACAGTGAGCTCCCTTGCCACTAAATTACTACTTTGCTTAGCTCTGGAGTCAAATCGGTATTCGTTTTGACTCCTACCCTAGTACATGCAGCTAGACCATTTAAAGATGTATCGTTGAGTGTTCAAATAACATCGAAAAACAGTTCTATTTCATGAGCATCGTCTTTGGCAGGTTTGGTTATAGGCCTCTCTCACATGTGTGTCGAATTCAGCCTGCATTCCCTGCCAGGTTGTACTAGCACAGTGTTGTCCACGAAGAGCAATTCTACCCGCCCACCCCCCATCCTCACACCCATGCCTTTCCGATTCACCATGTTGTTTTCAGAAAGCTCTACCAGCTCAGTTCGTTCACGACCTCTTTGTAGAATGGTTAGCTTTGTCGTGAACTTGTTTTAAAGCTCGCGAATGACATCACCACAAACGAAGAGACATGAAATACAGTTCCATCCTGCCAAAACAGATCTGCGTTTGGTTAGACGGGCTTGCATTGAACATGGACGCAGTGGGCATTGCGCGATTCCACGCTGGCGTACCAGCTCGAAAGACGTTTTTGTATCTTCTAGACCTTCTGCTTCCCTGACACCATTCGAAGATGTCCGAGAGAAGGGTGCATTCTTTACAGATGTTGCCGCCAACGGAGTCTTACCCCAAACTCGCAGGTGAAGCGAAGTGATAATAGTTCTTTCTCGACGCGCTGAAAAGCAGAGTCTAGCGTGGAGGGGAGATGGTCTGATCCCGTGTAGAACCTCGGACGTCAGTCAGGCAAAATTTTCGATTGGAGGTGATGTGAACTATTCTATTATGTAACTGTCCGCGAGGTGACTCTCGAGTCCATCGCAAATGAAAGGTTTTCTGGATCCGCGAATTACCATGAATGGTCTTGATCAACATGATGAATTCGGACAGCCTTCCACCCTGCCCATTCCAATTCATTGAGCGAGTCCCGATGTATAGCTCTTCAGCAGTTATTCTGAGGCCAACTTCAGAATCTAAATTACGATATCCTTGAAAAAAGCATGGTATATTCTGTAGAGCTTCTTCAGATCCGTATAAAACGCTTCTAGCTCTTCAACATTGATCGTTGAGCAACATCTTCTCAATCGCAAATATCCGGTTCTGGTTATCAAGCTCCCGTAGGAATCGATGTTCAAGGCCAAGTGCGTATTGACGAACATCTACACCGCCGACGTCTCTGCTGTCGCTTGTTCCAAGGAACAGTTCTTCTCCAGTTTAAAAAAATGACGTGCGATGTCTTTCTCAGTCCCTCCGATAACGTCGTATTTGACCTTCCTGGCTTGCATCGTCACATCTTCAATACAGGCCC